CTCCATACTGTTTTCTATAGTGGCTGCACCAGTTTGCATTCCCACCCATAGTGCACAAGGGTGCCCTTTTCTCCCTCCACATCCTCACCAACACCTGCTATCTCTTGTCTTTTTGATAATAGTCATTTTAACACGCACGAGATGATACCTCACTGTGGTTTTGATTTGCATTTCCCTGATGCTTAGTGACATTGAGCATCTTTTTACGTACCTGTCGGCCATCTCTATGTCTTCTTTGGAAAAACGTCTGTTCAGAGCCTCTGCCCGTTTGTAAATCAGATCAGTATGTTGCTATTGAGTTGGAGGAGTTCTTTACAGATTTTGGACGAGAACCTCTATCAGATATGAAGATGATGTGCAAGTATTTGCTCCCATTCTGTAGGTTGCCTTTTCATTTTAATAGTTCCCCTCCCCTTTTCTTACTTCAAAATAACTATCATCCCATGCTTCTAATTGCCAGTGAGGAAGGTGAAGAGGAAGGAAGGTCGAGGGAGACACAGGTCATCGTAAGAGTCAATGCGTCGCCTTTGTGGCATTTTGCGTTTGGAGCGCACCCTCTAGTCTCAGGTTCCTCTCACGGGGCTGTGTGTCACCCAAAAGCACTTCCTTAGCTGCCAAAGGGAAAGGCTCCCCTAAAGGTCACTCTTTCGTCCAAACAAGGCCCATAAAATATGCTAATGGGCATATGAAAAAGTTATGCCTTCGTTAAAATGCCAATAAACGTTGGGAACACAGATCATTTAAAAGGCCCTCAATCTGTAAGCCAACATGCTGGCCTTGCTGACACATGGTGACAAAGGCACGCAGATACCAGAAAAGACAACTAGCTACAGGATGTGAAAAAAAGCAACACGCAAGGGAAAATTTCACTTTTTCAAATGCCCTATATTTTCAAATTACAGACTTGGGCTATTTCTTTGAAACATCTCTTCCTATTTATAAAAAAAAACAAAAACAAAAACAAAAAAACCCAAACACTTCTGCCCACTATTTATACATGTGTTTCAGCTATTTCGAGAAAAGTGACTCAAGTTGATGCTAAAAAAGCATTTCCTTCCATAAAAAAGATATCATTTTAAGAATGTCACTTCAAACACCACACTATTTTGAATATTTATTATGTTCTCCCGTCTCAGGGTTCACTTGCTTCTTGGTGCCCTCAGTTTGCTTGGAGCTGGTAGCACCAGCAAGCCTACTTCAGCTATTTTTCACTAAATAAAAGGAAATTATGATTCATGGCAAAACAAACACACAGGGCAGGAGAATCTCAGCCAAAACTACTAAGAATGATCATGCAAAACAAAGCCTGCTTTAAAAAAAATTTTTAATGTTTATTATTTTTTTTGAGAGAGAGATAGTGAGCAGAGAAGGGACAGAGAGCGAAGGGAGACACAGAATGTGAAGCAGGCTCCAGGCTCTGAGCAGTCAGCACAGAGCCCGATGCAGGGCTCGAACTCACAAACCACCAGATCATGACATGAGCTGAAGTCAGACACTCAGCCGACTGAGCCACCCAGGCGCCACTAAAGCCCACTTTTTAAACTGATGTATTCATCTTATATGGATACACTAGAAATTTTAAAATATCAAACAGGGTTTCATCCTAGCTGTGTACACTAAAGATACTGGTGTATAAAAGCAGTGTTAACACTTGTGACGCTATGTCACAGATGGAGTACAACATTCTTGCATTCCACATGCTTTCTGCATGGTCCCCAAATCAAACCTAATTCCATCTACGCCAAGCTGACTGCAAGTAACAGGTATGACGAATGTTAGAAGAGCACATAGCCATTCCTAAAGGGATGTGACGAAAGAGACCACTGAGTCCTAGGTGAAATACTATATTCATGTACTCAACAGTATCCATCAGAGAAAAATTCCAGCCACTGTAACTTTTCACAAGATTTATTGTCAGAGCCTGTAAGTGGATATACTGGGAATAGTTCCACGCCTGTTAGGAAAAAAAAAAAAATCCTCCCAACCAAATGAACAACTCATGCCTGTTATGCACCGACAGCACCGAATCCTCCAGTAGGAAGAAACAAATTTGTTCTGCAGTGTTTGGAGCTCGATGGAACCAAGACCTGAGAAATAACCAGTTATTTTGAGAAGAGATAAACAATGACCCGCCAACTGTAGAGCAATTGAGAAATACAGTTCACATTATTCTGCAGAAAAATAAGCTACCAGTAAAGCCCTATGTGACATCACTTGGCCGAAGGGACCCAGACCCTTAATGAAGAGTGAAGTTTTGAGTAGGGACTAAGATGCCTGCTGACAATCAAAGAAAGGCCTATTTGATAATCGGTGTGACGGAAAACAGACCTTTCTGGCTCCCAGCTATTAGCTAATGAAAGCCTCCACTAACGTTAAAGAAATATTCACCAGATGTTCTAAAATTTCAGGCCTTCCCAGATGCCTGGATCCTAAAAGCCAAAGAACAAATAGCTACCACATGCTGAGGGGAGGGGCGGGGGGGGGGCGGCGCAGAGGAGACCCAGCAAAAGAAAATGCTCCCGAAGATGCACATCATTAGTGATTCAGGTACGGACGGCAACATGACAAGAACATCATTAAGAGGCCTAACCATTAAGCATGTTCTAGCACATGTCGTTATCATACACGACTGAAATGAAAAACCTGAGCAAACATGTGAAAAGCCTCAAGACTAAAGAATAAGCTAACTAATGATCGGTAATTAAAAGTATTACACGGAGCGCCTTCTCATACCCGATCTACAGAAGAAAACAAAGATCAAATTCAACTCGGAAGGATGCTTTTTTTCCTAAAGGGGAAAAAAAACCTGTGATATATAACATGGTTAACAGATGAAATTTCCGCTAAAGACGAAGTCCAACTTTTCCCCTCTGTTCATAGAACTATCTGAAGCCTCTGAAATACCATGGATAAGTTACACGGCCACTAAAAATTTTAAGCATGAAGACTATGCAGCAACCCGGAATAATTCACGGGACAAAATAGGTGGGAAAAGCAGAACACAAAGTAATATGTATACTGTGATAAAGACGCTAGGTAAAACGTTGTGACCGTGGTTGTTACAAGGAGGGGGGGACGGGGATGAGGTTGGGAGGTGCGACTTTCTTTTTCCTTTCCAAAGATGCTGGAAAGGATCTTTCAAAATATTGCCACGAAATGTTTCTAGATCAAAATCAACAACAATACTTTTAAACGACAAGTCTTGCATTTCAGAAAAAAAAAGTTAAATAAGTTATCCTTTAAAGAAAAAAAAAGCCACACTGCTTTGTGGTTTATCCTTTTACTACTTCAACTTAAGGAGACTTTCAAATGGCCACGCTACAAATGGTGGGTTCTTATCTGTATTTGTACTCAAAGGGTGTTGACGTTCAGCCTTCGGACTTCTGAACATCTGCTTTTCTATGTGGAAAAAAATGGTCACACCCTTTTGGGAAACTGACATTTTTTAAAAAGCTTGTGGCATTCTGGAAGCCGTCTACTTGCTGCAGTTTTTAAAACAGATAAATCACAAACTGAAAAACAAAGCCTCCAAACCAGAACGGTTTCAAGGAGAACCTAATAATCTAACTGTTAACCCCAGCTACGGGTTACAAAATTAAAGCCTCCCTTCGGTTTCATTTCTGAAGGCGCGCTCTCTCTGGCCAACTCTTCGGCTTGCTAGGTTCCACTCTTTTAAATACTTCCCTCGGCTGAAACGGATCACAACCCGCCCAGACTGCTGCTCCCCAGCACAATTAAGATAATTCTGCGAAAAAGAAGGCGTCTAGCGAAAGACGTCAAGGATTATGGGAATATATTTTTGAAATTTCAACGTGCAAGCAGGACTCTTATGCAGGCTGACTTAAGAGTCTGAGTTCTAGTTTATCGGGCCACTGCAGGCAAGGCAGTTCTTTATCTCCTCACCATTAGGAACATAAATTAACTACCCCACGGAGGTTAAATCCTCCCTACTTTTCGCCTGTAGGTCAGAATCCCTTGGATCGAATCCTCGAATTGGACAACTGCAGCCTCGCGCAGTCGAGTCCTCCCCCTTCCTTCCTTTCTTCCCGGACAAATCCCTACGTGGCTAATAGCAACCTAATTTAGGATGTAAATAGGTAGGCCAGGTCCCTAAAAAGCTGGGCCCCCAGTGAGTTCCGATCCGCACGTCCCCGCCCCAGCCCGTCGCGGATTCGGCAGAGTCTGCAAGGAAACCTTAACAGGCGCTAAGGTGCCTGAGAGCGGGCTCGAGCGGACCGATGCCGGGGGAGAAAAGAGAAGTTTCTCCGGGTCGGGGGTGGGGGCAGGCTAGCTCCGCGGGCAGATCTGCCATCGGGTGGGGCGGGGTAGAGACCACAGACGTGCACGGGAGCCGAAGGCCGGCGGCTGACTCTGCCACGCTCTCAGCAGGAAGGGGAGTGGAGCGGGAGGAAGAGGGGGAGGGGAAGGGAGGGGAGGGGACGGGAGGGGCGGGCAGAGGAGAGGGGAGGGGGAGGAGGCAGGGCCCGGAGGAGGAGCCGGCGCCGGTAGAGCCCGCGCGCCGGGCCCACAGCACCTCTGGGCGGAGTCGCCCAGCCCGCCCGGCCCCGGGGCCGCCGCCGCCACCGCACCCGGTGCGCCCCGAGGGGGCGGGCCCATCCTGCAACCTCCCTCCGGGTCTCGGGTCCTCCTTCCCCTCCCCTCCCCTCTCCTCCCTCCTTTCCATCTCAGCAGCGCCCTCAGTCTCCCTCTCTGGCTCATACAAAAGCAAAATGTCCGCCATGTTCCGAGGCCGCCGCGGTCGGCGCCGCCGCCGGCTCGGCCCCAGCGCGGTTCGCCCCGCGACCGCCCCTCCGGCGTCCCCCGGCCCCGGCCCCGGGCGCCGCCGCCGCTCCGCCCGCCCGCCGCGCCCCCCCTCCCGCCCGGCCCGCGCGTCCCGCCGGGCGCCGCAGCACCGCCTCGGGCGGGGACAGGGGGGGCGGCAGCCCCGGGGCGCCCGGCTCCCACTTCCCGCCCGCCCACGCCCTCGGTGGCCCCTTTACCTTGATGCAGTACGGGGGTTCGTCGTAGGTGACCAGCATGTACCTGTCTCCGCGGCTGGCCGGGTCCCGGGCGCGCAGCTGCGGGACGAGGGATGACGGAGGGGGCCGCGAAGGGAAGGAGGGAGGAGGGGGCAATACAGACGTTACAGAAGCACCTAGATCCACCACCACCCCCATCCCTCGGGAGCTCTCCCCAGCTCTCCCCTCCCCTCCCTTTACCTTCAAGAATAACTCCACAGCGCCTTTGGCAATGTCCAAATAGGAGGTGCCCAGGTCAGTGCGCTGGTTCATAGAGGCGGACGTGTCTATGAGGAACAGCAGGATGGGCATCTTCCCCCGCACCCCTGGCTCCGCTGCCCTCTTGCCCTCACTGCCGCGGACTGCCACCCGAACCTTCAACTCTCGCAGAGGCAGGGTGCAGGGAGCAGGAGGAAAGGGGGGAGACGGGACGGGACGGATGCAACTGCTCCTGGCCTCCTCTTTCTGCAGCCCCACCTCCTCTCCCTCCAAGGGAACTTGAAAGTGTGAGCGTGTGTAGCCCTCGGGGCCCTCCCCCTTTCCCCTCCCCTGCCACCACTACTGCCGCCGCCGCCGCCGCCGCCGCCGCCGGGACTACTGCCCAAGCAGCCGTCCACGCTCACTCAAGAGCTCGCCCCAGACTGAGAGCTGTCTCTGTTCACCGACACACAACTTCTGTCCGCTCACCTACCGTGGGCACCATGTGACCAGGAACCACGCCATTGGCTGCCAATTATGTGCTATTTGCATATTCATTAGATGACAGTGCAGGGGGAGGGACTTGGGCGAACCCTGGGAGTTGAAGTTTGAACCCAAGCAGGGGGTAAGTAGGGGGGGGAGATGTTAAGGACCCTCCTTTAAAGGACTCGGAAGCCATTAGGATACTTAGGGTGGTTTGGATGGATATTCTCTTGCTCTTCTAACCCGATAGTTCGAAAGGAAGAGTGAATTTGAGCAACAGTTGCGCAGCACTACAGAAGCAGATGCCTGGACAGGCTGCACAGAAAACGCTCTGCTAACTGCAATCGATCAACCCTGCCAGTGGCTAAGACCAAAACATTTCAGAAGCAGCAAACTTCTTTTCCTGGCAAGACCTACTCACATTCCTTTCGATGCCTCCCCACTCTCGATCAGTATTTGTAAGGCGGTTGCTGGCCTTGCATTCCGCATGTATGTACTTAGAAAGAAAACTAAAGCTTGGAACAAACAGTTCCTAAACTGGCCTTTTGGATCTACCAGCTTCTTCAGTTTCATTGAGCTTTTCAAGTATTGGCCTGCCTGTGATGATTCCACCCGTGGTTGTGCCTGGACGGCCTTTGTGGGTGTGCCTGCACGGCCTTTATACACCGGAGGTTTCCCAACCTAGATTCGGATTCAGCTCTCCTTTATTCAGCACCTATGATGTGCCAGGCTAACCCACGTCAGCTTTATTTAATCTTTGAAATAATTATGCTGGATGGCATTATAGTCCATTTTCAGTAAAGGAAAGTGTAACTTGCTGAAATGAGGGCAACGCTGAGGGACAGTCTCCAGTCTGGCTCTATGGAGAGGCTCAGTGGAGGGCCAGCCACGCTTGGCTGACTACTTGGTGTAAAACAACTTTTAAAAATGGAGGTGTGATCCCAGCAGTATGCTACGTACAACGTGGAAACTCGAGCTTCAATGAGCTTACAGTTCATATGTTCTTTGTAATGTAATATGTATACACACACGTATATATACATATATAATACACATATACACATTCAATAACATTTTCAGAAAAAAATAAGATTTCAGAAGAGGCCGCACGGCAGTATTTGAACCAGGGACAAACAAGCAATGCAAATAAAAAATGCAGTGACAGCCCTAGGCTAGTGGTCCAGAAGTTCAGAAGGTTTCATGGACGGGCCACAGAGGCAGAAGGGAGGGATTCTGGGTTGGAAGGAATAGTGTGAACAAAACTTCAAGCCAGTAACAGTAATATGCTTGGGATGTTTCAGGCCAGTCTGGTGGGATACACCTGGCGGGAATTAATGAGGAAATCTGGATGAAAAAAGGCACTAGAAGCTTCTATTTTCATGCTGATACAAATATGGTTGGAGAAGGGCAAGGTCCACATGGGCGGACAAGCTGAAAGTGCAGGACTGGTTGGGGCACTGGTGTGTTAGTGTTCTATTGCTGTGTAACAAATTACCACAGAGTCAGCAGCTCAAGACGACACGCATGTTTATTACCTCACGGTTGCCATGAGTCAGGGATCTGGGCATGGAGCAGCTAGACTCTCTGCTCAGTCTCAAAGGCTGCAGTCAAGATGCCGGCCAGGCTGTGTTTTCATCTCGAGACTCGACTGGGAAGGAATCAGCTTCCAAGCTCAGTCAGCATGTTGGCAGAATTCATTTCCTTGTGGCTGCATTTTTGCTGTTGGCCTCTTTCAGGTCAACCTGCATTTGCCGTTCCCCACCACGTGACCCTTTCTACAGGCCATCCCAGCGTGGCTACCTGCTTGTTCAGGGCCATCAGGGACACTGCTTGCTCCCATCGCCTAAGATGGGGCCTTATATAACATAACTTAATCGTGAGTGACACCCATCACCTTTGCCATATCTGATTAACTAGAAGCAAGTCACAGGCCTCATCCACACTTAAGGAGAGAAGATTATACAGGTAGTAACACTGGGGGCTGGAAATCATGGGAGTCATCTAAGAATTCTGCCTCACATTGTGTGGGGGTGAGATTACCACCTAGAAACAAACTTTCCCTAGCTCACAGCTTTTGTTAAAGTCCTCTCCAAGTAATAATACGCCACTTTCATTCCATGAGGTCAATGCCTGGGGCTGATTGATTGATTGGTTGATTTGGTTGAAGATGTACAAGATTTCCTATTAGGAGCTTATATCATATATATATTATAATATATACATATATATCATATATGTGTGTTATGTATATATAATTTAAAAATATATTACTACTTATTTATATGATCTATATCACATAATATACATAAAAATGCCATTTGTGAATTGAGGCATATCACACTCCTTATTTATGCATTTATATCTATATAAAATACTTATTTATAGGAATAAATATAACAAATATTGAATTATCAACTATTATATTATATTATATTATATTAGTAGGTAGGTATGTAGAAACATAGAGATATGCCCCAGTTCACAAATGTCATTTTGAGAGATGATATAAAAAAAAAAATCTTCTTTATACTTTCCTCCCAACTTTTCTAGAATGAGTGTGCCCTGCTTTGATAATCAGAAAAGAGATTATGTTACAAAACTGCATACAAAGTATTCAGACAACCCCTCCAAGGTGAATACTATTGAAATAGTTTTCAAAACCGCATTGGCAGTATTCCGGAAGCACACATGGTCTCAGTCTGGCTGTGCTCCCGAGGCTGAGGGCAGGCAGGCCCCACAGGCCCATCCTTCGAATGTGCTCCCCATGCAGGTAAATGCCTTTTCATGTGTTTCCACCCCTAACAGGGCATGTTATTGATCTTTCTCAGCATAAGGACAAGTGCAATTGAAATGATATAAATATAGAATCTGAAAAGTATCTGTGTCTCATTATAAAACTATACAAGTGACAATATACAAAAAAAAAAAAAATCTAGTGGATTCATTGGCTTATTCAGATCCAGCCAAACCCCAAGCCCTAAGCATGAAACCCCTCTTCTTCACTTCCTGGAGGAAAGCAAACCCTGTATTAAGCTAGAGTGTGCATATACCTCTTTATTGCATTTCTCTGGCACAAATCAACACTAAACCCCTCGGAGCACTTCCTTTCTACATCTTTTCCCCCTCTGGACCATCACTCCCCTCGTGGTACAGGTTAAGTTGTGCTTTGGCTTTGCCTCTTGCTGGAATGTAAACTAGAGAGCAGGCAGAGCGGATAACCAGGGCCCGGTGCAAAGAGCGTGCTCATTAAATGGCTATTGAAAGAAATCGTTCGCTGCACCGCCACATTCTTTCATGGTCTTCCTGGGTGCTGCTTTCCGTGGGTTCCCAGCCTGCCTTGTCGGCCCCTGTCTGCCACCCCCCCCACACACCCACTTAAGCAGGACGGCTCCCTGTCGCTTTGGGGTTTGGGCACCAGTGGGTCTCTTCAGGCTGAGCCCTTAGCTGCTGATCCCCACCACGCCCCGCAAAAACAAAACAAAACAAAACAAAACCCTGCTGTGTCTCTGTGATTCTGCTCACGCTTCCTTCTGAAATGACCCTTCTTTAGACCACTGCTCATTGTTCGCCTCCCTCAGCCAAACCCTGCGCCTAACTGCTTTCCCACTGCAGGCCCATTATCACGGCCAGGCCGCTGGCCAGGTAACAGGATTCTTTGTTCTTTGCAGCTCAATGACCTGCACTGACTGTCCTGTCTTCCTTCTGGTTTTCTCAGGCTCTTTGAACTCGCGAGCTCTTGGAAATAGGGTCCTCTTCCCTCTTCGCGTCTCTGCACTTCCTCTGCTTTTCTTTCACTGGTAGCTTCTAAATCAATTTGCTTTAGTACCTCACCACACTCCTCCATTCTAGATCTTTCTACCTCATGTCTGGGGTTACCAGGCATCTCTCAGGGAAAAGTTCTTACCAAGCACTGCCCTCCTGGCCTTCACCCCCTTCACAACAAAAGTTAGCACTCTCTGTCCCACGTTTACACTTCCTGGCATCGGCCGTGTATTTTGGTGAGGGCTGGTTTGACTTCTGGCTCTTCAAAACATGTGACCTCCTGCCTTTAAGCGGACCGCAATGACTGCATCTTAACTAAAAGACCTTACTTAGCCTGATCGCTCCCCCTCCCGGAGCCACCTGTCACGGCTCCGAGGGGAGTAAAATTGTCTGACTTTAGCAACACCTACTCCCTCCTCAGCCGTGCAGTCTGGCTTCTCTCCCCAGCACTCTGGAAACTGCTCCGAGGTCCCCCCGGGGCCAGCTCCTGGCCGGATCCCATGGTCTGGTCTAGATTTCCCTTTGTTGACGGCAGAGCTATCTGTCACTTGCCTTTCTGAGCTCTCCCTCCCCGGCCACCTTTTCTTTCATCACCTGTCACTTCTCCCGGCGTCCTCCTTACCCTTTGGACTATTTGCTTTCAATTCCTCTGACTCCTAAACTTACTCTCTGTCTCAGTGTGTGGCTACCTCTTTTGCCTCTCCTACGGCTCTACAAAAGTCATTGCCATTCCCATGGTCAGTATCCATTTAGTCATCCTTTTTTTTTTTTTTTTTCAAATATTTCTTGGGTGCACCTGCTATGTGACAGGCAATGAGAATATCTTGGTGAGGGGCGCCTGGGTGATTCAGTCGGTTAAGCGTCTGACTCTTGATTTCGGCTCAGGTCGTGATCACACAGTTCGTGAGTTCGAGCCCCACACTGGGCTCTGTGCTGTCTGTGCGGACCCTGCTTTGGATCTCTCTCTCCCACCCCCTCTGTCTCTGCCCCTCCCATGCTCACAAGTGCATGTGCTGTCTTTCAAAATAAATAAATAAACTTAAAAAAAAAAAAGAGAGAGAGAATACTTTAGCAAACA